TTAGAGTCCATTTCAACATTCTGGCTTTTAGAGTTCTTCATGGATAAGCACAAACTTACATCAATAAACTTTGAAATCTTTATGTCCCTAACATGCCCCTGAGGCCATGTAGTTGAGGCCTGCTGGCTGTGCATCATACAAAGCTGAAAACTAAAGTAGACAGTGCTTGTGCAACTCTGGAAGGGTCTACCTCTGAAATATGTGGTCTCAGCGGTCTCTTTTAAAATACGGCTAAAAATGAATCTTTTTGGCCTTGTGTTTGGTTAACTTTGGTGTATTTTGTTGTGAAGTACTATGTGATGTTTACCTTGAAAGTTGCTATTGTTGTTGTTTTGTTTTCACAAGAATAGGCAAATATGCTCAAATTATAAGTTTTCACAATTTATTATCAGACGGTTAGAATTTCCACTTGTTTTATGTGGACCTCTGTCTCTCTGGCTCAGAGGCAAATGCTGCTGGGCCCAGGCAGGAAACACTTTTATTGCATGTGGTAAAAACAGAATGTTAACACGATTGGTAAAACATTGGAGGGAAGCCTTTAGACCACATCTCAGGCTGCACCTTTCAGACACCTATTGCGCCCCCCCCCCGATCCCATGTAATAATAAAACATGGAGAAAAGACAATTAAAAAAAAAAAACACCGAAAACCGATTACCATTGACTAGAAGCTAACTCTGGTACTAATGTTAGTCGGTCGGTGGGTGGGTGGGGTGGGGGTGTTTAAAGGGACCAGATTATGTGCTGGAACTCCTCCATAATTTAGGAACCACAAAAGAAAAAGGTTCAGTGTCGACATGGGAAGAACAAGGAAGCAGTTGTGAATGTTACTGACCACATAGTCACAGACTTCATCATGGTGGCCCAAAGACCCAAAGTCCTCTAGTGGGCCCTGTGTTCACTGCCCAGCATTGCTTAGAAAACTAGGATTGCCAGGTCCACCACTGGTGCCTTGTGATAAGCACACTAACATGTATAAGGAGGAAGGACATCTGCAGGTCACATTGTCTTAGTTTTTAATTGGTTTACTTGCCTGTTCGACATGTTTCGGACCTCAGAAAACAAGTTCTTGTACTGGGCATTATTTTTTGTCTAATTACATGAATTGTAAATAATGAAAGGCATTTTGAACAAGAGGATATTCTGTTTCTCTCCAGACATGCTGGTGCCTCAACAGTCTGCTGAGTCTACACAAGGCCATTTTCCCATATAGAATTAATTAGCCTTAATTCCCAAGGGCACTTGCCTTTCCATCCCTCTGTGCTTCTCTAGGGCATCACATCTAGGATTAACCATGGGCCAGCATGAAGTTGATCGAGAAGTTTATATAATTTTAACTTTGATTTTATATATGGTCTTCCGAAAGACAGAGGGATATGTCACATTTTAGGTTTTTTAAAAGCAAGGAAATTAGTTCTTTTATAAAACGGATGGTATTTTTTTTTTCTCCCAGATGAATAGAAATGTGTTTTGTTTGTTTTTAATTTTGAAATCAAAGGCTTGGGCTTGGATTCGCGCTGCTCTGAACACTGCAGCCAGTGGTATTCACATTCCAAGTTGGCGACATGAGGAAAATCTAATATCACAATATTTTTTGCCTACATCACGATACATGATATATATCACAATATGTTTAAATAACCTCCAAAAACAAATGTTATTTTTAGCCAATCAGTCATTCAAATTGATCCCTCAGTGTTTTGTTTTGTTTTTACAAACGAATGTACTGTCAACAGTATGTTTCTTCCTGTGGTCAACACTAGACCTTTACCAGCAAACAATCACAGCAACAAAAAAGGACATGAAGCAAGAATTCACCACAGTGTACCAGGTAGAAAATGTTCCATTTGGGAGGGGGAAATTAATGATGCATTCGCAGAGTTTGGGAGAAAAGACACTCACAGTGAATTGCATGCAGACAGCTTAATATTGACATGGCAATTTATACTCAATGGTTACGGTAAAGCCATTTTAGCCATCATATATGGAAAAACTCGGAAAAACTCGTGATACAGTATATTCGATATATCGCTCACCCCTAAGTCCAAGACCTTAAAGAGTATTGAGATTTAGAAGTTGCAAGAGTTAGATTGAACATAGTCACTTATATATCAAGTTTGCATCAGAGAAATTTGCAATGCCTTCAATGTCTTCCTATCACCAACTCTGCTGTGGTTGTGTAAGATGTAGTCAGAGTTTCTAGCAAATGCTTTGTTCATTGCAGATGTGCCGTAGTCTAATCGGATCGAACCTAATTTGAGAACTTGGGCCCATTGTCAGTGACAACTTTATCTGGTATTCAGTGTATTGCATACATTCTCTGGAGTGTGTCAGTAGTGACTGGAGCTGTAAATACCTGAAGTGCAAGACTACTTGGGGCTCCTATTTTTTTTTAAATCAATGTAGACAACCAGAGGATTGAGGCAACAAACAAGGCAAGTCACCTGGACTGGATTGGACTGCGCGTTTTAAACAGAGAGACCATCTACACTTCCTGTTTTGTAGGACTACACGATATGACCAAGTGCAATAGTGCAATTCCTACAAATTTAGTGAATAGTTTATATCATTACCACATCAAAAGTTTCTCTATTTTTTTTACATTTAGATGAGATTAACAAATATGGAACTTACATGATGTTATCGGGTAGTGACACACACTGGATGACTCACACAATCGCACATAAGCTTCCCTGATGCCTCCAGCCATCATTACTGCTCCTGTATGGGGGCTTGCAAACATCGACTGCAAGAGTGTCCAGTCTCTCAAGTGCATGGTTAACCTAATATAGGATTGCGATGTTCAGCTCGTCCACAAAACTGTTGTTGCAGCGTTGTCTACATATAAAATGATAATATAAATGAGGCAAATCAACTTATGTGAAGTGTTTGTGCACTTGGAGTCAATTTTTTTTGCCATTGCATGAAACCATATATTTATAGATGTAACTTGTAATAGACATGATTATTTTTCTGAGTCTTTATTACATGCCGTACCACAGGGAAAAGCCTGTTCTAATGTTTGAGTCTGAGGTTTATTATGAGGACCTGGCTCATATTTGCCTCCGATTCATAAACTCTCTCTGTACTCTTTAATGTGATTCTTGCGTAAGTGGTAAAGAAGGTTTGTTGTGTTTGTGTCTGTGGTGGGGACCATTTTCTTGTATAATTTATGCAGTTTTCTCCTCCATGTCACACTTTTCATAACTGAATCACGTCCACGCCACAGAGGTAGGCCCTCGTTTAGGAACAAGCTCCTCAATTTGTTTTACCTGGTCCTTCTGCTGTATTGTGGTGATTATTGCAAACTGTCATCTAAAGCAATGAAAACATATTACAGTAAACCGTGTCTTTTGCGACAGCACAAAATAGAGTATAATATAAAAAAGATAGATGTTTTGATATCATCATCTGATATATTTCGTTATATCTCACATCTCTGTATTGAGGTGCTGGTTCCACGGATCGGCAACATCTGCACTTTATAAAGAACTCAAACAGCAACTTGCTTAGAGCCAAAATAAATTTTACAGATATAGTATAACTTTAAACAAAGCTACATTCAACATCTATAGAACACACTTATACAGTTACACAGAAACTATACTAAACAAAGTTGTTGGGGTTTTTTTTTTACTCGCTACTCAGCAGGGTGAAATTTTGAACAATAACTCCACAAAGTCACTTCAAACCTTAACAAATAGCCAAGGCTACATTAACATTTTCATCATAATAAAAAATAAAAAGTGTCATTGTATGTTGTTGTTAGCCTTTCTCTTACCATTCTCACTTTCTATATTTTTGGCTAATTTCACTCAGTAATATTCGAGTGTTTGTACTCACAGTTTTTCAACATGCTTTGTTTTTAACAGTTAATATATATTTTTTGTAGAAATGCAGAATTCAGTGACAAGAAACTGGACAGGGAAACAAGCAATATTGTTTTAACTGTCCATCCATCTTTTTCCACCAATTTTCTTACTTCTTTGACATTACACATGATCGTTGTGATACGTGGTATCACACATCACATTTGGAGTGACAGGATATTGTGGTATAGTTTGACTCACTTATTAACACCCAGGCATTTTAAGACAGTTATAGTTGGGAGGAGCTGCTCACTGACCCACTGGTACATTAATGATTCTTGTCGTTGCTGGGTTTCTTATGATCTCAGCAGTTTTTAACATCTTGGAAGTGGGTTTGATGTACACAAGGATTGATTGAGTCAGGGGAGAAGAGCTACATGGATATGTTCATGTACCCAGGTTTGGCTAATCAGGGTGCAAACAAGCAGTACTCAAAATGCCAGCTGTTGCTGTACACATGTTACTGAGGCTACGTCCACACGTACCCGGGTATTTTTGAAAACGCAGATTTTTCTATGCGTTTGCACCTTTCGTCCACACGTAAACGGTGTTTTCGGTCACTGAAAACTGAGATTTTTAAAAACTCCGGCCAGGGTGGATATTTTTGAAAACTCAGTTTTTGCATTTCCGTGTGGACAAGAAAAACGGAGAAAACGCAGCGTCAAAGGTGTGCGCCTTTTTTGACGTCACACTGTGCGCCACGTTATTGTTTCGGTGAAATGAATTTCTACAATACTGTTACTGTTAATTGTACTCTCTGCAGTGTTTAAATGCTTACATATACACACACAGTTACTGTCCCTCCACACATATGACTCGGTTCTGCTTCTATGCCCCATCCTTGTTTACTATTTCCCACCGAGGCTTCTAGACTTCTGATTGGCCAACATTTCTACACGGTTAGGAATATATCGCCACCATTTCTGCGTTTACGCGTGGACGAGATTATTTTTTAAAACGAAAACGGAAAATCTCCGTTTTCAAAAATATCCGTGTACGTGTGGACGTAACCTAAGAACGTGGGTTTTTTTTTTTTTTTCAATTAAATGGCAGATGGTAGCACTTTAGAATAGAATAAATAGCACTATGTGTATTTATTCTAACAATTTGTGGTCTTTTGTTATGCAGTAAAGGGAACAGCAAACTTGACTACTTTGTATGGAGAAACCATTGTTATGCCATGCAATGGTGGAGCTCCACCACCGGAAGATCTGATGTTCATCAAGTGGAAATATGTAAGTACACACTGACATTGAGTTACTTGTGAAGTAAGCAGTCAGCTGTGTGAATATCACCATGCAGTCTAAAGCTGGGCATACACTGTGCAATTTTTTTTGAGTCGCATTATGCAGCTTCTGCTCAAACTGCAGGATTGAATCACAGGGGTTAGAAGTTTGTAGGTCACAATGCATGGTCTCACACTATACAGCCCAGTGCGCTGATGCGACCTGTTGTGAAGGCCCACCTTTTAGCACATCCCAGCACACCCACTCACTAAACTCTGAGCCTTCCTTCCTTCATAACACGACCTGAGTGCTCACGCTTGTGCGTCCATAACATGAAGCTTATAACACAAAATCTGTCTCTCTCTCTCTTCCTCTCTGTCTTTCACTCACACAAACACACACCACCACCATCAACTTTGCTAAATTGCTAATAAAAAACATTGACCAGCCAGCTGCAATGGAGCAGCAATGTCCATCCAACTCTTCACGGTTGTTGTGTCACAAATTGCACAGTGTATACCCAGCTTAAGGGAATGAATAATATAAAACTATGAGAGAGTGTCCTGTCTAGGGCAAAACTTTAGGCTTATGTCCATCATAAATCTACAGCTAGTGTCTTCAAGACTTATTTAAAGAAATCAGATAAATATGGCTCCACTTAATCCACACTGTAATTAAAGAGATTACCTGGCAAAGATGACCTGTTGAATTTTGCATTATGTTAGCAGTGTACACCTATTCTAATTAGCACATATGTGATACATTTGTACGTTCTACTTGGAGAATGCTTGAATGAAAGCTTAAATGCATTGTTTAAAATTGTTCTATTTTTGTGCATGTCTATATAAATATGCTTGAAGAATGAAGATTTGTACAGATTTGACAAACCCTGTCTTCTTTGTGTTATTCTTCTGTTGCCTTACACTTTAGGAAAAAGATGATGGCACACCTGGTGATCTGTTAATCAAACAGGCTCACAGTGACCAGGCCACAGTTCAGGCCACAGATGGTTATGCTCAACGGGTCAGCATCAATAGGCACTTCAGCCTGCTCATTACCCAGGCCTCACTCAAAGACCAGAGGACTTTCACCTGCATGGTGGTGTCAGACGCCAACCTCATGGAGTATCCCGTCTCTGTTGTTGTTTACAGTAAGCTTAAC